CAAAATCCAAACAAGCTGACTATAGCAAAAACACTGTTGGATGGCAGCAATGTCACTCGCCAGTCGTCAGTGTCTTTTTTTCTTTCATAATCTTTCATAATCTTTAACCACCACCTGCTGGCAGTAAATACTGGCGTCCAATTTCCAAGGACAACCGTGCCTATCCTGACATGATTATCCAGCTCATCCGAGCCATCATCAGGCTTCATTCTGGTCACGGCGTTCAGTCTGCATTCTCTTTCGACCTTGATGTCACCCAAACCAAGGCCTTGGACGCTTTCATCAGTGGCATGGTGCACTCCAACATGAGCATCAATGACCAAAACATCAAGGAGTTCCACGAGCTGTTATGGTCCTTGATCGACGGACCCAGTTTTCATGGAGGTCGGCCATGGGCTAATGTCATACAGCGTTTTATCTGGTTACGTGCACTTCGACGCGATGGGAACTTCTATGAGGCAGGTGACCTGTCGCCAGATCTTGCTAAACTGGAATATTTTGTCAATGGAACCTCGCTTGTTCATGCGTTATGGTATCAGAGGGACAGTGACATGGGCGAAATCGAGTGGGTCCTTCTTGTAAGCCTGTGAGCATGGCTCATCCCTCCATTTTCTATTTCAGGCGGGTTCTTGCAGTTCATAATGAGGTCCTAGCTGTGGGACGCTCCAACACGTTCAACATGCTGTTTCAATACCAGCAGTTTTCTTCATCCTTGGCCTTGAACCAGCAAAGGGAGCCAAAAGTATTTTTTGACCCTGGGTTCCAGTGGCTGTCAGTTGGAGCGGACAGAATGCACCTCCCTGCATTTCGCCAAGGTATCCAAACACTCCTTCAACAAGTGAAGGACAGGTATCTCCTGCTTACAAACGGACGCACTGCGTTCAACAGCATGCCAAATAATCTGAATGACGACATGACAAACACCATCCGGGGACATTCCTTTGCGAAGGATAAGCAGTTTGACTCCATCAAACTGGAGTTTTTCTGCAGTTTGGTTCAGGACCACAGCCTGGCTATGGTGGATGGGGATGGACGTCTTGGATGGAACATACCGGCAGTGAAAGACATCCTGCGGAGGTGCGGGGAGGTATGGAAACCATTATACCACTTGCTCTATGTCACTGGTCAGATCTCTACACGGTCGGTGCAGTTTCTGGAGCATCATACCTACCTACCTAACGCCGTATACAATCTCCATCCTAGGGGTACACCGGGTTTTTCTCACGCCCGTCGTCCCTGCTTTTGCTTCCTGCACACCAATTCAAGTTCGACATGCTTAGGGTTAGGGTTAGGGTCTCTCGCGCGCGCCCGATCCGCATTTTCAAGTCTTTTTGTGTTTTTTTTTTTTTTTTTTTTTTTTCCTGGCGCTGGCACGAAACAAATACACAAAAGCATTACACAACAGGCACACTGATCAGCACATGAATAAGTAATCAGTTAAAGCTCGACTCGATCAACAGCGCAAACAACTCTCAACGCATCAACATGTGAGCGTAGATATCAGCGCAGAGCAGGCGCAATGAAATTATGACACCGAAACAACGAGCGACATCAGGACACTAGAGAGAGGGCGAGCTACATGCTTCAACATCATGCAAAAACGAGTGGAAGAGAAACGTCGACCGGCAGGCCAGCAACGTAGAAGAAAAAGATAGGGCGCTGACAGACAATGGCCAGAGCGGAAGAGAGCTCATACCAACGGGACCAGAAAGTGGGGCAAGGAGAGGTTGGACTGGCCATGCCAGAAAGTGGAGCAGAGCAGAAAGATAGGTCGGACTGGCAGTGCCAGAAAAGCGGGTAGAGCAGCGAGCCAAAAGCGGGGCAGAGCGGAAAGAGAGGTCAGACTGGCAGTGCCAGAAAAGTGGGTAGAGCGGCGAGCGGAAGGCAGCAAAAGAGGCCAGACTGGCAGTGCCAGAAAAGTGTGGGTAGAGCGGCGAGCGGAAAGCGGAAAGGAAGCGGGGCAGACCAGAAAAAGAGGTCAGACTGGCAGTGCCAGAAAAATGGGTAGAGTGGCGAGCGCAGGTAAGAGTTTGAGAACAAAGAGAAATTAGATTGGCTGTGCCAGAAAGCGGAGCAAGGAGAGAAGTTAGACTGGCTGGGCCAGAAAGTGTGGAAGGATAGGTTAGACTAGCTAGGCCAGAAAGTGGGTAGAGCGGCAAGGAGAGGTTAGACTGGCTGGGCCAGGAAGTGGGGAAGGAGGGGTTAGACTGGCTGGGCCAGGAAGTGGGGAAGGAGGGGTTAGACTGGCTGGGCCAGAAAGTGGGGACGGAGAGGTTAGACTGGCTGGGCCAGGAAGTGGGGAAGGAGAGGTTAGACTGGCTGGGCCAGAAAGTGGGGAAGGAGAGGTTAGACTGGCTGGGCCAGAAAGTGGGGACGGAGAGGTTAGACTGGCTGGGCCAGAAAGTGGGGAAGGAGAGGTTAGACTGGCTGGGCCAGAAAGTGGGGACGGAGAGGTTAGACTGGCTGGGCCAGAAAGTGGGGACGGAGAGGTTAGACTGGCTGGGCCAGAAAGTGGGGAAGGAGAGGTTAGACTGGCTGGGCCAGAAAGTGGGGACGGAGAGGTTAGACTGGCTGGGCCAGAAAGTGGGGAAGGAGAGGTTAGACTGGCTGGGCCAGGAAGTGGGGGAAGGAGAGGTTAGACTGGCTGGGCCAGGAAGTGGGGAAGGAGAGGTTAGACTGGCTGGGCCAGAAAGTGGGGACGGAGAGGTTAGACTGGCTGGGCCAGGAAGTGGGGAAGGAGAGGTTAGACTGGCTGGGCCAGAAAGTGGGGACGGAGAGGTTAGACTGGCTGGGCCAGAAAGTGGGGAAGGAGAGGTTAGACTGGCTGGGCCAGAAAGTGGGTAGAGCGGTGAGCGCAGGTAAGAGTTTGAGAACAACTTTGAGACCGGTGAACCAAACGTGATTAAAAAAAAGGTGGGAACTTTACTCGGAAATTTGGTCATGGCAAGGGACCGTTTTATCCCCTTGCCATGACGAAGCTGCCGAATACGCGCCTGACATCTTTAAAGCTCAATTCTGGCCTCGTCATGACCGGCATTCCAACTCCCTAGGGCTCACGATCGAAGATGGCAGATTTCTCAAAGATTTTCCGCAGCTCACATGCTTCGCGCCCGCTTCTTACAACTGATGCTCTTCCCGACACCCTATCTGAAGAAAAGCACAAGTCCTGGTGCTCTATGCTGCCCTTCCACAGAAGGAAGAAGACCCACCACGCATTCGTTTCATCTTCACCTCAGCTGCCTAGGAAGTTCACCAACGCTCCTCCAGCATCTGTCAGCAAAGAGTGAGTTTTTCTTCTGGTTTGGGTTGATCAACATGTTCGGTCAAGGATGATCTCTCGTTGATGAGACAAACGAGGGTAGGTTAGCGACATATGGTCTATTATGTTGGTATATATGCTTATATATCGTACACGTCGGACAAAACATGGAAGCAAGGCATATAGTCATAGTCCTGGACTGTACATTCATTTTTTGCTAAAATCATTATTGCTTTTCTTGAAAGGCTGATCGCATATCACTGTAGGCTCTTGTCCGTTGCTTCAACTGCAGATGGACCCCCATCTGACGAACGGCTCCCTTCTACCCTTCCGAGTCCTCCATTGAACGTGTCGCTGCCGTCTCTGGGCTCCAAATTCGCTGCCCATTTCTCTCCTGTGCAATTTTATATCAAAACTCTGAAGGCACGATGCTCTGCATCGTACAAGTCAAAGAACACCTCTACCACACGTTCATCCACCTCTCTCTCTCCCGCTGTAGCTGATTGCTGTGGTACTTCCCTGGAGTCCCGCAGCTCCAGCACTGTAAATAGCCGATCCACTCCACCAAAATCGCTTCTTCAACCCTCTGCAGAGAACACTCCTTACTATGAAATAATGGACGAGTTTTCTGATTTTTTTTACACTTCCTGAGCATCTTCCAAAGGCGACCAAGTCTGCTCAAAAGCTTCCACCTCGTCAGCCGTTACGAATAGCACGGAACCAACTACTTGCCCTCCTCCTTCTGCCCCCCTACCTTTGCCACTGCTCTCAGCTCGGTTGGCACCCAGGCCACCGAGAAGCTCGTCGCCAGACAGTGCTATGGGATAATTTGACATAACTTGCACGTCATGCTATTACTTTTCATTCGTTTATCTCGACATTCACTTACCGCGCACACATACAATAGTACAGCTATTCTTTATATCATCGCTAACACGGACAGGTATATAGTTCTCGCACCCGCGTCGTTCTACCTCAGTCTTTTGCACTTGGACTAGGTCATTCTTTTGTCTCTCGCAGTCTCTTGCTACTTCCACCCGTCGCTACTCATATCAAATCCATCTACCAACAGTGTTCCCTCCTGCTTGACTGTTCACTCCCCGGGTATAGCGTCACAACCGCGAACTAACACATCAATCGCTGGACAATAATGGGAGGTCATCCAATTTCTTTCACGTGTACGTATAGGGTACATGATACCAACAGCTATATCGAATGATTCGAAACCACGATCTGAGCATTCAATATTCAAAGCTGAATTATGTATTACGCCGGTGTGAGCCACCGGGTTCACATGATGTCGCAAGCGGTGTCAGGTCTGTTCACAATCAACTGCGGTTGCTCTTAACGTCTAGGACGACCAGCACAAACTTTTATTGAGATTTTTTCTATATCATGCAGTCTTTGCGCACACGTAGGCCCTCTGACACGCGCACTGTCAAATGTCAGGCCTCTAAACTCGAGAAGAAGCCTATCAATAAGAATGTTCGCAAGTCCACCGTCGATGACAAGATAAAGAAGCGTATGTCACTGCGCTATGCAGAGATATCTGCGCCCACCGAAGCTTCTGTCCCGGACGTGCCAAGCGTTCCAATTGGGCTGCGGCCAGGTGCAGTGAGGGACCCAGATGAGCTTGTCTTGGAACGTGCCAGTATCAGAGAGGACTTGAAGGCCATAGATCAGAGGTTGCTGGATAAGGAAGATTTCGATCCCGACACCTGTAGGTACCGTGCATTTGCAGTCTGGATATTCTTACGCGTTCGACATGCTATACAGACTTGAAGGCCAAACTGGCCAACTCAACCGAGGCGGAGCTCAGGTCTCTCCAGTCTTCACTCAGATCGTCCAAGGATGATACCGCTGTTGAACTACAGCGGAATGTATTTAAAAAGTATCTCCTAATGTTTCGCCCCGTCGACTTCGCTAACCCTGCTACAGCTATGCCGAGTTCGTACATATTTCCAAAGAAATTTCTGTCCTCGAGAACGAAGTGCTCTAGCTGAAAGAAAGCCTTTCTGAATGGAAGTCTATGCCGAGCCTTTTACACATTGATGAGTCCGCCTCTGCTTCGGAGCGGCGGCGCAACGTTCGTTCATCCATTGCGGACCTTCGCGTGCTCTAGGCGAATCAGATGCAGACACTGCATACCCAAATCGAGGGCTCCGCCAAATTTGCTCCAACAACGCCAGGCAGACATGTAATTTACGAATGGACGGGATATATGCTCTCAATGCAGCAACCTACAGGGTCAGTAACATTGTCAAGTTCGTCGTGCTATATGATTCTGTGCTCGCAGAGAGATGTTGGCCTTTGAATGAGATGTTGGTGTTGGATAGGAAGAATACAGCAAGTAAGTGTGGTTTGGATTGCAGAGCGTATACGATTATCTGATCAACCTGGCTAGCTATGACGAAGATTCGAATGTCTTTAAAGTTCGCCATCAAAAGGAGACATATGTTTACAGAACGGAGGCACCTTTTGATAAGAAGACTCTTCTTGGACAGTTCCGTCAGGTTGCCGAAGAACTTGCGATCCGCAAACGCAGGGAGTGTGAAGGCGAGCATGAGCGACGCAAGAGCATGTGGACCAGTGGAGATGTCAGCCTCTATGCCCTATTCAATTCATATTCGTTCGTCTGACATGTTATTATCAAGCAACGCGCTTCCATGACATTGCATCCTGATAAGATGCCGCCCCTTCCTGATTGGATGGCTGAGCTTGCCCGAAAAGCGGGCGTTGACGGGGACACCAGCGCACGGGATAAATCCGAGAGCAATGCACGTTTCATCAGTGATTTTTCGGACGACCTCAGTCGCTATCGCTCTGCGATCCTGGGAACGGGCCGTTGAGCTAGTGGAAGAAGGTCGAGCTAAAGTTTCTTCCATACCGTCATTGAGCACCAAGCTCACTCCTCTCACGGCGAGCCTCACCTCAGCATTACTCGATGCACTCAGTGCGCCCGGGAACCGCAAGAATACTGCAGTAAGCCTCATTGGTCATTTATTAAAGCTTGGACAAGGTCCAGCTGCGAGGTCAACATTCTTAAACGCGCGAGCGGGGGCGGTGGACCAGTATGTCAGGGCCATCAGATTCGAAGGCCATGTCGGGATGTATGTGCACGATCTGGCTTCAGTCGTGTTTACCGGGATCAAGCATACAGCGGATTGGTTCCTCGCGGGCTTTGTAGAGCATGATATGACTAGCAGTCAGTGTTTTCTTCGCATTTTCCATGCAATCCCCTTTACTGATTGGTACCAAGCTTTAATTGACTGGGCTAAAAAACAAATTGAGATGTATGCTGAGAGGTTCAGGAAGCAGGTTTATAGTTCCGATGCTGAACAGCAGACTGTCAAAGAAGCACTCAAAATCACACACAGTCAGAGTCGCAAGGTTTGTCCATTATCTTTCCTTCTCCCCGTTTGTGTAAACCATCCACCTACATACTATTCAGCTCCTACAAGAATTTGGGCTTGACTTCTGTTATCTCCTTGACGAGCTTCTGGTTCAGGACCCCCAGACCAACGACACCTGCGTTGTTTCTGCTACCTTCCATGCACCTTCCCTAGGGCCCTCCATCTCGGGCTCGCACACACCACAATCCATATCATCCTTCGCGTCTTCTTCCACGCCTCCCATACCTTCAATTCCATCTGCCCCTGACTCGCCCGCCCGCCCTACTACACGCTCTTCAATTCCTCTGCGCCCCAGTCGTGCAGATCCATGACTCCGATTGTTCGTCGAAATCTACGCAGGAGAGCCCGGCTCCTCCACCACGCTCGTCAGATCGTCCTGGGAGCACTAACAGACCACAAGTCGCCATTCCACAAAGGGAAGGGATGTTTTGACCGGTTATCCTATATCACTGGTTTTTGTTCAACTTCATTGACCGTTCTCAAGGATTTGTGGTGTGTATTCTACCGCCTGAGATGATAAGTACCAATGTATGCAAGTTCACCCTCCAGCGCTCTGCCACGGGTTAATACCGGGAATGGATGCGACCCGAACTCGAATGTCAATCTAGTGATCGCCTATGCCTTCCTCCCTCAGATACCGTTTGTCTCCTGCTCTAGAGTCTACATTAGTGTCCTGTAAATTTGGTGTATGCTAATTTACGGGTGCTAATCAGCAGTGCTAATTAGTGCTAATTTACTGTGTTAATCTGGGAGGCCCAAAATGCCCTGTTAATTAGGGTTAATCTGCTTGATATGTTGTATCGGCCGATCTGCTTGAAGCGTTCACCTGCCGGAATAAGAATGTTGCAATATTGTTCGATTTTTGAGGCAAGCCAAC